ATACCGTTTGACTAAAACTCGCACATCTGTATATTCTTATTTTTCTTAATTATTTAATTATGTGATTTGTCAATTAACGCGTTTCAGATGTCGCAATACAGACAGTAGCAAATCGCGATAGAATAAATATAAACTTGTGACATGTGCTATCGACGGGATACGCCTTGCTATGTTTTATGCGACCAGGGACAGAAAACTAGTACTGACTGTATGAAAGTTAATTTGTTAGCAACAGATGCCAAAATCGTTCATATCGCCTTTTAATACTGTAATGTAGACAGTCTAGTCCCCTTTGAGAGCTAAGCTAAACTCTTTTATGGCAAGTAATTGCCCAGTGGTGCTGCGGTCATGGTAAACTGCATAGATTTTACCGCTAGGTCACACCTGAAGGAATAACAGATTACTGCCAAGGTTTTTTATTTATTTCTAAAAGATTCTTGTAAGAGGATAAAATTAATGAGATATACATAATTTTAAAATAAGGAATTTTATTAACATTTGATGATTTCATTTGTGTTTTCTGGAATACATTTTATCTTTGTTAAGGTAGAAAATCATATTCCTGATCGCACCAATTAATTCAGATCTTGAAAATTAATACCACTGTTAGCGCAGAGGGCACACTCGCTAAATCAAATAAGCAATAATTTTGAGTACATCTACAATTCGTATATTTAAAATCATACGGTTTAAATCATAGCCAATCAATCTAGTAAAATAACCAGGCCATTAGCATGCGTTATAGGAATGATTGTGATAGGTAACTATTTGTGGCTTTAAATGCAATTTATACTTAAAAAGAATTTGGTTACAACCATCGATTAATTATTATTGACGACGACCGGATGGCGTAGTGGTTTGTGTAACGGACTGCTATTCCAAGGGTCGCGGGTTCGATGCCTGCTCAAGTCAAACATTTGTTAGCATGAACATTTAATGTTTGGTTTGGTCTGGGTGTTTCTATGTATAATAAATATGTATTTAAAAAAAAAGTATGTATGTACATATTTATATCAGTTGTCTCGTACCCATAGTACAAGCTCAGCTTAGCTTACTTTGGGACTAGATGGCGTTGTGTGAATGTGGTAGAATATTATTATTATTATTATTGGACTTGAAATTATCAACATACTCGTTGAATTATGTTTAATGGGTTAAATGGTTTTTTGGATTTAGACGTATAAACGGAGCTCTTACAGGATCAGACAGTCCCTTATATCATGTTGGCTGGTACCCCAGCCAATGGAAAGGTAAAGTTCGTGAGTTTGTATATTCGAGGTAATCTCCAGTACTACTAATCCGATTTTGAAAATTCTTTAACTGTTAAAAAGGCATATTATCCCTGAGTGCTATAGACTCTTTTTACTGGGATAACCGATATGCACGTGGGCGGAGCCGCGGGCAAAAGCTGGTTTTGAATAAAGAGAATTTAGAAAATAATAATATTTATATAATAAGACTATACTTTGTGAACTATCAGATAAAAAGAAATTTTGAAAGACTTAAAGGGTTTTATTTATACTTCTAAAGTTGTTAGTTTTAAAGTTCATTAAAAAAATGTAACTTACCTGTCTCCGCAGCTATCCACAATAAAAAAAGAGAGAAAATAGTTATTTAACACATAAAAATTTAAGAAGTACATAGCTTTAAATAGTCCTATGCTCTTTAAATCGTCTGGATTAAAGAGCCACTTTTCATATCTTAATGAAATTAATATTATTATTTAGTAGTAAATTAAAAAAAAATGTAGCTTCGATCCTCGACTTTGTAGTATAACTACTCTGTTAAGAAAGTACCAAGAAAAGATCAATAATACACAAAATATATGTTATTTATCATTTTATCACCTTCAAAGTATGCTCCTTCAGAAAGATATACTTACGAATAATCCAATCATCAAATCATTTTTTAAATGTTGTTTCCGGAATCGACTTCAGTTCTCGCCGCAAATTCTCCTTTATGTCTTCTACCGATTGAAAACGGGTGCCACGAAGTGGTAATTTGAGTTTAGGAAAAAGAAAGAAGTTGGCTGGAGCCATATCTGGTGAATATGGTGGTTGCTCGATGTTATTTCTTGAGTGTTTGGTCAAAAATTCGTTCACAATGATGGCCTTGTGGGAAGGCGCAACATCGTGGTCCAAAATCCAAGAATTTTCTTTCCACAAATCTGGCCATTTTCGTGGAATTTGCTCTCTTAAATGCCGCACAACGCTCAAATAATATTCTTTATTTACCGTTTGACCTTCCGGCAAGAATTCCGAGTAACACCGCGATAGTCAAAGAAAACAGTCGACATGACTATGACTTTTGATTTACTTTGGCGTGGTTTTTTCGGTTTCGGTTCAGTTGGAAGCCGCCACTCCGAAGCTTGTTGACTAGTTTGCATGTCAAACTCGTACACCCACGTCTCGTCACCAGTCACAATGCGTTTCATGAATGTTGGGTCGGAATTGACTCGTTCTAGCATGTCCTCGGCGACACTCATGCGATTGAGTTTTTGGAGAAAATTCAGGTCTTTTGGGACTAGCCGAGCGGTAACATGTTTCATACCCAAGTGATTAGTTAAAATGGTACGAATCGACTCCTGAGATACAGAAAGTTCGGCGGCTATCTCTCTTAAAGTTGAATGAGGGTTTTCAGTCACCATTTCCTTCACTTTTGCGATGTTAACTTCAGTTGCAGACGTTGATGGCCTACCAGAGCGAGGCAATATTTCAACACAATGATAAAGTCGATTCACCGTAAGCCTCCTGTAACATTTTCAGTAACTCCGAACATAAAATTCCATTGGCGATGCAAAATTTAAGACAAACTCTTTGTCCGATACACACTAGATATGATATAACTAAAAACAACACTGTATTTAATATAAATAACAGATGCAACTCAAACTCCGGAAAACCACCAAAATGGTAAACAGTTGTGCCAATCAAACAACAACAAAAAAAAAAACAAAAATTTGGAATTTGGAACCATAAACAAATCATCCATTCCCGATACTTTCTTAACTGAATGTAATACTTTTAAAGTTATATGAACATAAAGGTGGCTCCTCAACCTGAATGTTTGGATTGAGGAGCCACATCAGAACTAAGCACAATGAACATAATGAATGTATATTTAGCATTATTTAGTATTTTGTAGTGTTGTGATTGGTTAGTAGACAAAGTCTTACCATACTTTATATATTTTTAAATATTCATTGTGTGACTACTCAATACAAATGTTTAGATTGAGGAGCCACTTTTACATTTATGTAACTTTGGATATATCTTACTACAAATTTCAGAATTTGTCCTACAAAATTATTTGCATCCCATAAACAAGGGGGAGGTTGCCGTTTAAAACCTGGCTCCTCAATCCATACGGACACTTTAAATAATATCTAAGCGTACGGAACAGTCTGCATGCGAGTTCAATTTCCCATTGCCCGATTTTTATCTATGGTCAATCACACAATTGTCCGTGTAGTGACGGATTAAGAATACGGAATGCCACTACCCCAATTCATCCCGTGGGTGTCGTAAGAACCGACTAAGGGCGCAAAACAACGCAGGACACTAGCACTGCAAAAAGACGGAAAACTTGACACAAACCCTATACCAACCCGCCTGGCCAGCGTGGTATAGTAGGCCAAAACCTTCTTTCTAAGGAGAGGCCTATGTCCAGCAGTGGACTATTAAAGGCTGTTGATGTGAATCACAGAACGACCACACTTAACATTGTCTGAAAACAATATCGAAATGATGAAATAATAACTCGAATATAGTAATTAAGTACCTCAGTAAAATTCTCCGGCAAAAGTAATTGACGCTTTATCTGGTTTCCGGAAGACCGCTTTCCGAATTTCCTGCTAATTGTTCCATTCAAACCGGTCACAGTACGATGACTGCACCATGCACCCCATAGTTAATTAGCATAATATACGTCCGGCTATCATTTAAATTATTTCCTCTCTACAAAACTAGTTGCCATTGGCGTTTAGAGTCGAAGAGTTTCTGATGAACACACATCGGAATCTCTTCAACTCTGATACGAGCATAACCTGAATCAGCTTTCATAGGCGTATGCCAATTATATATCTCAGTTATTATGTATAGCATAGGTAAATTTGAAGGCCTTATAAGGCCTCGACATTGAGCTTCAACTAAACGATGTATTCCCAAATTATCACCACCGTTCAATCTCATACCATTAGTAAAAAATGTAAATCGACCTACAGTAAAAATGTTATCAGATCTACAGGACTAACGACGCATGCCTTTGGAAGAATGTTTGAATTAAAATATGTACTTTACCAAATCACACACTATATGTGTCACCACAAACCTATCATTAGCACCATGTAAATATAAATTTGGTCAACTCGTCGTTAAATAAATCCGATGAAGGCAACAGTTGTGTATCTAATTTTTATTCTGCTTCCTTTTGTGGCACAATAGGCTTATAAGATGACGTATGATAGTTTTCGGCAGAAATATATTAAAATCTATATTAGAACAAGACTAGCACCTAAATCGTTCCTGGTTATTAACTTTAATTCTGTATTTTAACGACATAGATTAGTAACATGCCATTATTTACTTATAGTTACAGCTAAAATAACTCTATCTTATCTTTACATTTTAGACATGTTTCTTTTCTTGATGAAAAAATGTCAACAGGACAATAACGTTCTTAACATTTGGTCGAATCTTAAAAAGTCTGCAAGAAATGCGCCATTATTTAAATCGTCTCCTCACTAATTGCCACCACGTTGGTAACATGTGTTCCTATTCCGAAATAAGATAAAATTATTTGTATGACATTATTTGTATGTTAATTATATGTTTATAAAGACATAAGGAAAAAAAACAAATATAATTTACACCGGACCTCTTTCATTATAGGGGTTTACTTGAACGTCTGGTGACCCTAATAACCAGTGTAGTGTAGTGAAATATAAATATTCGTATAATAAAAAAGTAAATCATTTATTATTCATCTTTCTTTTCAGAATCATGGGAGAAATTGGCGCTAAGCTTGGCCTCGACGAGTTGACGGGTGGCGCGGTTGGCATCAGTCGGGCACTCCTAGCAGAATTCATTGGTAATTATTAAACAAATCGATGTCATACAATTACTAGAATAGCTGTTTGACAGATATGTCAACGTTCTCTTTATAAGGTCTACCTTGGAATTATACAATTGCACATGATGCTGACAGAGGTCCATATAAGGAGGTATCTAACAACCCTAATAGGTGACATCAGTAGTGGCTAGATAAATAGTGAACAAAAAATACCATACCTAACAATATTATACTATAAAATTAATAAAACAATTTATGTTTCTGTTTTTTTTAAAGACAAATTGTGAATCGCACAAAGTGTTATCCATGTGGGGATGGAACCCACGGTACGGTACGGGAAGCGGTGAGGGATAACGCTTAAACCACTACGCCATCCGTGCAGTTATGTATTATTGACTGTACCAGCTGACTTTGACTAAAGTTTTATTAAAACTTATGATTGATAAAGCGCTTTATTTAGCAACTTCAAATAATGATATAAAAAGAAAATTTCATTGATAAAAAATTATAAATTTTGCCGAAGTCATAGTATAATATTCCACCAAAAATATGTAATCATATAGATACTTAGCCCCTTTTGATATGGACTGTAAATTTATAAAGTTCTGTATCTTGTGTATCACGAACGTGTTCGTGTGTCTCAATTTTCATAAATTAGATATCTGCTGGGGGTCATCTGCTCTGCAAAACTAAACAATACATTGACGTATGAGACAATTGTCTTAAAGTCTATAAAATTATTTTTTATTTGAATACAAAAGCTATCTTAAAATGGAAATGCTAGCTTAGTTGTTTGTTTAATGTGAATTTGTCAGGATAAAGGGTATTTAACATTTAACCAATAAAGAGAAGGTCAACAACATAACAAAATGCAGCTACGAGTACCTCATGCTTTATTTATATACAGTGATTACGTAGTTAATTTAGATTAAAATGATTTTGTTTAATAATGAACCCTATCTTATCCAAGACCGAGTCGTGGTAGAATAATCTGAAATCTTTAGACACACGTACGGATACACAAACTTGGAATAACCTATAATGTAGAAGTAAATGACTTGAATAATATTTTTTGTATAGGTAATCTATTACTGAATCTCTTCGGTTGCGGTGCGTGCGTCAACATCTCTCAAGGAGCGAACGCTGCTCCGAACATCGTGCTCATCGCATTAGCCTTCGGACTCGCTGTATACGCGGCTGTTTCTGTAAGCAAACTCTTTACTTTTGCTATAAATAGTGTTTGCCTAGTGGATAAAACTCGACCAAAGTTATTATTAAAAATTTGATGTAACACACCAATGAATTTGCATTCTTCGTTATTAAGTTCGTTGAGAAAAAAAAAGAGTATCGTGGTTTACCAAAGGAGTAGGCATATATATAGGGATATATATTATAGGCCTATAAATATATATTTTGTTATTAATAACGCCAAAGTTCATCAATTAAAAAGTAAGATCAATTCACTACTACAACAAAGTTTCAGTACTATTTTCTGTTTCACTCAAAAGCTCACTATTATTAACTGAACAGAAGAAAATAATAAAATCCATTACAAATAGAAAACATGAAAGGTATGCAGGTATTGCGATTATGTCTTCATCTGTCTGTCAAACAAAATATCGTTTTTTTTTATGAAGTTAGTAAATCCCGTAAATTTACACAAAATATTTATTGACAAACATAGGGGAGAAAAGAATAATAATAATGTTTATTTCAACTCCACAAATTACTTCATTCTACACATTTTACAGTTGACTAGAAAATTTAACTTTGTTCTTTGCCTGTTTATACTTGTAAGTACCATACCTTAGGAAAACATACGAAGATCAAATTCAAATCGCTTCTCAAGTGTATGAATTCAACTCGAAATACAATGTATTACTCTTGACATAATCTTAAATAATACTTGTATAATACAGTTGTATTTCAAAGTCAAGATGACAATGAAATGAGATAAGTATAATTTTCACACCCACTGACGTTGATAGATGATGATGACAGACGTCACGAATCTACAAAAACGGCATATTTACATGTGTATATTATACCTTAGACGGCCCGTCCTGTAAGTTACATGTATATTTTTAAATATTATATCAGACAACAATTTAAATAATTATCTTCTAGTTACTTTTAAAGTCCGATTCCTGTAAATGACTCCAATTTCTGTTCATCGTCACATTTGGTTCACATACAGAATCACACAGCGACAGCGGAAAAGAACTGTGGCCAGTTGTTGGACACTATTCTTATCGATGCTTCCACAGCTTTTATAATGTATCTAGATCTATTAATGATCTAAGTTATCACCTTTATATGTATAGTATAAATGTATCGTTACAATATTTTCAACCTATAGTCTTCACAAATTGTGAAAAAATGGCAACGGAAGAAATACTAATCGGAACTTAATTCCTTTTCACCAGGCGATAGGTCACATATCAGGTGGTCACATCAATCCCGCCGTGACTCTTGGACTTGCATCAACCGGAAAGGTTAAACCAGTGAGAGCAGTTCTCTACATAATCGCCCAGTGTGCAGGAGCTGCAGCCGGTTCCGGCCTGCTAAAAGCTCTAACTCCTGAACGCGCTGCTGGAAAACTCGGTGTTACTGGGTTAGGCACTGACGTTACACCACTTCAAGGTTTCGGTATCGAGTTCTTCCTTGGATTTGTGCTGATCTTCGTAGTTTGTGGGGTAAGTTATTATGTTTTTAATTTGCCATTTAGTGCAATTGTAAATAGTCACTTATAAATTAGATTGTGTACATAAATAAAAACAAAAACAAAAATAATTATCAAATAAATATTAAATAATGATCTACCAAGAAATTTTGCGTCAAATATTAGTTAATTTTAAATTTCCAATTTTAACTATTTTATTTTTAAACAAATATTTTAAGAGTTTACTTTATAAATATGTATATGAAACGCTCGTGTGTCTTTTCATGGTTACTAACTAGTAATAAAACCTTCAAAATAGCCATTGGTGTGACATGCAATAAATTAGTACCTGAAAAGCCTGTTCGTTTCAAGCAGCAGTTAATTATCGCAAAGATTAGACACCCTACTACGTACGTAACGTAGTAAAACTAAAACTAGTTTACTATGCCTTTAAAACTACGAAAATGTGACCTTAGTGTGACGCTATAAGTATGTGATTTGCGTGGACTAGGAACGCCATCAGACATGTGGTCCATCTAGATAGCTTTTTTTTACCTTATTAGTTAGCTATAGTCCATTCGCGTTAAGAAAATAGTGATGCATCGATGAAGCCCTGCCCTCTGACTAATTAGGTAACAAGAAACTATCGTTACATATTATACCTAGCATCTGCGTATATGGTAATATATTGCACCTTTGTGCTATTGCTTAGAATATCATTAAACTGATAGTATTAAATACTACAGTACTATGATCTAATGCATTTGCTAGAACACATCAACTTGGAGGTTAAACTTGACGTGTTTCGTGACACAGCGTTAATAACGGAAGCGATTATATGCGTTTTCATAATGACTTTAAATTATTAGGACTGGTATCCAAGACATGCTACCATCAGATGTTAAGTACACGAGATAAACTCGATAATAATCGCACTTTAGTTACTTCCAAAAGCTTGCCCAAGTCTCGGGCAGTATACCACATTAGTATTACCACATTAACATAGTGTGGTTTAATCGGTTTGATTCCGACCACGGAGCAAATACAAAGAGGAGAGGGCATAAGCGATTGTGCACTGTGATTGTGCACTGTGATTCTAACTAGGTCCTGACGTCATCACAATGGGCGTGGCTTAAAATTAGTACACTCAGCGTGCTTCTAGTGCGCTTGTGTCGCAAAATCGCAATTCGCTACCTAATAATTAAGGCTAACTAATAAGAACAGTAATTCTCCTAATTAAGTAATATTATCATACAAACGTGCTACGCAAACAATACCTAGTATCAGGGCTCCACTCTTTGTAAATTACTATGTACATAAATTATACTTATAAAATATGCATTTATTACTGAGGCAGGCTCGACATAATTCAATGTCATCTTGTGTCCTTAAGCTTGCAATATAAATACATGTAGTTATTTCCACTGTGTCATAGGACCTTGGTGCTTAATAATTCTTACTCGGCTTTTAACAAATTACCTTATTGTTGTACTGTAATTGGTTATAACGGAAATTGAGGTTTAAATTGATTTGAAAAAGTTAAACACCTACATTATGATGTAACGAAAGCACAGGGTCTATAAGTTTTTGTCGCGTAAACCGCCTACAGTATATTTCATTGATCCTTTGGGAAATTATTTGTTTCATTAATTGACACAAGTCGCAACATTATAGATGGGCAAGGTATGGAGATGTTTGCAACCGAACACGCTTTAATTTCTAAACTAAGGTGGATGTAATTTTGCCCGATGTAGGTGTCCCTTAAAGGTTTACTAAGTAATGGCACTCAGGCTACGAGTGCCATATTCAATTCATCTTTAAACGAAAATCAACCTCCCTTACAAGGCACACACAGAACCAGAAAAATACCATACTTCGACATTGGCCGTGTGGCTCATTTGTGAACAAAAAGTAGAATGGTACAGTTCTATAAATTTCTAAATTCATTAAATGCGTGTATAGCTAATGAAATCGATTGAATATTAAAAGGGAGCGTGAGGGTCTATGGAACCCCAGTCGGAACGAAGTTCCTTTTGCTTTTTGGTAGACGTTTAATTTTTATGAAATATCAAAAAAAATTGAGCGTCGACGTGCCAACTGACGTGTCGGAAAAAAGGCTTGTTTCACATTTTTCGGTCTCGCTCCCATCCGCTAAGAGCGTGTAACGCGCGATAAGGAACTTCGTTCCAATTAGACAGAGGTCAATGAATATAGGCCCCTACAGCGCCCAAACCTTGTCTGGGTTTTGGTTCTGATGACTGCTGATTTTGGTAAATTTTCAATAACCAGATGACTTCTTGAAATACATGCATTTATCCATTTACTAATTTTACACAAGTTAATAAATGCTTGATAAAATCTTTAAGTGGTAAATAATCAATTTTGTCAATTATTTAGAAGTAACGCCTGGCCGCTATCTTTGCATACCATCTACAATTGATAAATAGCTTGCCAAATAAAGTTTAGGGAGATAATCCTACAAAGAAACGTAAACGCCGCGCCGCCCCGTAAGGATTGCGTGTTGAACCGCAGTCCATTATTCGCGAAATAGTAGGTAGGTACATCTACCGACGATACATTAACATAATCAATAAATGACACGATCATGAGCTAGAGTAGGGATGCTAGAAATTTATGGTAGGTATGGGGCTTGAAACCTCCTTTCTAAGGAGAGGCCTATGTCCAGCAGTGGACTATTAAAAGCTCTTTATGATGGAGCGTGAGTGGAAGCATTTGTACACAACAGAAATTGACAGAATTATACCGTACAGAACTTGTGTCTTTATGTAAAACTTGTAGGATGAGAATATTGAAACATTACTATTATAAATTAAAGAAACAAACCGGTATATTTAGTGACTTTTACGGTTTGGAGAAAAAAATTACTTGTTAAAATTCCATAGTCAAATACATATACTTATAATTCATACTGGCTTTTGCCCGCAGTTTCGCCCGAGTGTATGTCGGTTATCGCTGTAAAAAGTAGCCTATGTTACTCGCTCATAATGTAGCTTTCCATTGGAGAAACAATTTTTAAAATCGTTTTAGTGGTTTAGGCGTGAACGCGTAACAAACAAACAAACCTACTTTTAGATTTCTATACTAATATTATAAAGAGGAAAGATTTGATTTTTTGTTTGTATGTTGTGTGGAAACTACTGAACCTTAAAAAAGTGGATTTAAAAAAAAATACATATAGAAAGCTATATTATCAGCGAGTAACATAGGCTTTATTTTATTTTGAAAACATAATAAATTTCCTATAAAAATGACTATAGTTTGAAGGCAGTTATAAAAAATTGACTAAAATATTAGCTGCCTTCGCGTGCGCTGCAAGAACTATTGACAGTACCTATATAAAAATACGTTATATTTTAAACGTTCTCATCAATGCGTACAAAAAGAGTATCTAAATATTATAGTTTAGCTATAATACTTAACCACTTTTTGTTGAATTTAGTCACCTAAAATATGGATAAAAATAAAAAGCGATTCTATCAGTATCATGATTTTAATCCTTATCTAAATAAACCAATTAGTAATGAAGGCTATTTATTTAGGTGAAAAATACTTTTTGGTTTGTTCAAATCATTCAATTCGTTTTGAAGTTGTGATGAGTAGTAACTAAGAAAAATTGTCGTAATATTGCAAACCACTACAGAATAATGCATGTACGAAGTATCTTTACATAGTACCTATTCCGCCTTTCAAACTACTCAACGGGTTTTAATTTGGTTTTCAACAATAGAGACAGTGATTCAATATGAAAGTTAATATGTAAAATACGTGCATATTATAGTAAAGAAAAGCCGACAATGTCCACGATTTGCAATACGATGTCGTAAAAAATATTATTTTGTGCGCTTACATTGCAAACGCTGGCTAAACCTTACGAGATAGATTAATGAACTACAGAATTTTAAATAGATCTACAAAAAATTCCATCAATTGAATATAGATTAAAACTGCTTTTCCCTGCACACCTTTAGAATAAATATCTTAGAAGATATCAAAGCGGCCGTCAGGCCGTACGTCCCAGGTGCCAGCGGTCGACGCGCTGCTGAGCGCTAACCCTTTAGGAAGTAGAATGGGAATATCGTGGTTCCCATACACGAGGAAGTCATCTAAAACCCGAGATGGCCCGAGGTCCGTCGGGGTACCAGGGATTTCCTTTCTAGGATACACCTCGTGCCCCGGCTACTTATAGCCAAGATGGCGAGAATAGCTGTATATGAAGATATTCTGTAGTATAATAATAATATTATTCCTAATTCGACACTGATACCACATTACTGATATCTACATTGCACCTGTGCGAAGCCGGGGCAGGTCGCTAGTATAATATAAGTACGGATGAGATGAAAAATCAAAAAAAGCATAGGTTCTGTGTTTTTTTAATATCCTGCAAAAAGTGCACGATTGTTACAGACAGTCCAACTAAAGCTACGAAGTTTTCCCATTTATTATGTCCTTCGAATGCTAAACACGAAAGTTAGCGTGTAAGAAAGAAAATATTTCCCTAAATACATATCTCCGTAATGATAAATAGACCTTATTTGAATCCCCTTAAAACCTTATTAAGGTTAATGTAAAACGAGTATTAGATAAAAATTTCAAATATCTTTTTAATAGAAACGTACGAAAAGTACGGTACGTACAATAAGTACGAGATATCTATAGAGTTAAGATCATACCTTCTTGAAGATTCCCAGAACCACAATACAACTATAAAAATGAAAGGGATATGTTTTTAAATGATCCAGTCAGATATGCAGTTTACGAATAAGTTTTCTTACAAATGCTTGTTCAGTGATCGAAGTTATTACAGCAATTTTCGCAACTTAGACATCAAGGTTACATCACAAGATGCAGATTGGCGGTCGTGACGTACTCACTGTAACAATACCCACTTATTTAATATTTTATATTGTTGTCCCACGTGTCCGCACTTGCTTCATGACAACGTCTATCATCATAACTGCAATAATATGTAACAAGTAAATGTAGCAATATTTATATTACAAATGTTTTATCATTTGGCTTGTGTAAACAGAAAAATGCTGTGAAGATTTTGAGTTTTTTTTAACTCAAAATATCGTTATTTCATAAAAAAAATGTTTGATAAAATTGTTCGTCTTTTATGTATACTCTGAAGTCATGGATCAACACACACAATCTCCGTTTTGTCAAATATTAGGCAAAATCGATATAATAAAATTATAAGCGAAAATCTATTATAAGCCTGTGCCGATCTACAATAGGTAAGTAGTAAAGACCACAGTTTTTAAACCCGGTTTACAATAGTAAAGACCACAGTTTTTAAACCTGGCTTACAATAGTAAAGACCACAGTTTTAAAACCTGGTTTACAAAAGTAAAGACCATAGTTTCAAACAATAGTAAAGACCACAGTTATAAACCTGGTTTACAAAAGTAGACACAGTTTTTAAAACTGTAAAATTCATATTTAATAACAACACAATAGCATTGTTATTAAATATGAGTTTTGCACTTTACTTTTATGTTTATCGTTATCGACTTCCTTCTTACATCATTTTAATTTGGCACTTTTCTTGTACTGCACTATCGCACGACATTATTAATAAATTAACATGATACGAGTATATCACGAAATGTATTTACACATAGGTACCTAATGTAGAATTCGTCAACTCTCAGTGCAACTAAGGAAACCATGAAACACAAAAACGAAGAAGAAGATAGAAGAAAGGGAGAAGCATAAGAAGAAGCACAAAATGGTTCAGCATGTTAACTCATACAAGACCCAATAACTAACAACATCACGTTTATGCATTTTGACCTATAAATGTACCTACATTTAAATGCAAATATTACACATACATATATATAGGCCATAGTTCAACAGTGGACGTCGATAATCTGATGATGATGATTACACACACGTACAGTTAAATTATAAGAAAACCGTTGGTTGAATCTTGATCAACAAAGTTATACAAATAACACATGTGTGTATTGTCTCTTTACTAAATTTTAGTAGAGGCTTTTTTAATTAGAGTAAACCATCTCAAATATTCAAGTTCATCATACACACAGAACATTCCTACATGCTTAGACACTGTTAGTAGCAGCGTTCCGATTGGCCCGCACTGAACTCTTACCAATCGCAACGCCAAACGCGGTCACCGTGACGATCGAGTAGGTGTAAAAAAAACTTACACTAGACCATCTGTACATCTCATTACGGACACTGATAACACTGTGCGCAGCTAAAGTCTACAATCAAAAAGTAACTAGGCACTTACAAAAGAATATATATTATAAAGCTGAAGAGTATGTTTGTTTGGTTGAACGCGCTAATCTTAGGAACTACAAGTCCGATTTGAAAGATTATTTCATTGCTGGTAAGCCCATTTATTGAGGAAGGCTATTGGCTATATACCATCACGTAATAAGTTTTGCTTTTGTTAATTTCTACGTATTTTTTCAATTATTTCTGTTCTTACATAACTTTCGACATAGGTATTTATTTCCATACAAAAAAGGTTGATTTTGTAATAATTTTCATTGAAAATTGTTTTGCTCATTCTTTTAACATTTGTTTTTTTATTATTTAAGTGTTTAAGCAAGTATATAGTTTTTATCACCTACTTAAATAATATTTAACTTAGGTTTTTTCTTAATTATGCGGTTAGTCTATAATATAATTATAGAAGTGCAGAGTTTTTTTGTTTGTATGTTTGATTGAATAATCGAATCGCTAATCTCCGGAACTACGAATATGTTCGAATTGAAAAATTATTTCACTATTGCATAGCCCATTTATAGAGGAAGTTTATAGGCTTTATAACATTACGCTACTATCAACCCATGACGAGCATGAATGAAAAAGGTTGCAATAAAGGGTAAAATTTATTCCTTCTGAGAGACGGAGACGAAGTTGCGCCGGTCAGCTTGTTGCGTCGGTCATAAGTAGAAAATGAATGTTTAATTTCACACTTCGCTGATTACATTTATGTCTATAAGTAAAAAGTGTCCTTTAAAGGTTTCTCAATCACGCGTCTGTTTAAAACGTGGATATCTTGCTGAATAAATATTACATAGCAGATACATTTACGTTTTACCATCTAAGATATTTATTAGTTATGCCCGCCATCTAGTGGCTAGTAGATACAGATAGATTAAAAAAAAATACTACTGATAAATGCAAGTGAGACTAACATTACTTACATATTTAAATACAATAATATCAGGCGTTATCCGACCCAAACAATCTGTGTTGAATAACTTACTACCATAACAACACAGCTTATGTGGCTGCTATTCTGTGTTGTTGTGCTGTTTATGAACTTAACTAGGTTGCATAATATTACCTCTTTTCCATGATATAACTCTTAAATACAACAATAGTAAGCCATGATTATAATCCGCGAACTGCAGACTGCTGTTAATATTTTATCTTAATTTACAGGTATGTGATGGCAACAAACCAGACCACAAATCAACCGCTCCTTTGGCGATCGGCCTCACAGTGACTTTGGGCCACTTACTTGCCGTGGATTACACCGGCTCTGCTATGAACCCTGCCCGCTCCTTCGGCTCAGCGCTTGTAGCTAATGAATGGGCTGATCACTGGGTAAGTCATATATTTCATATAATATACATAAAACATAGTACATTTATATAAAAAAAAAATATTACGCTCGTTTTTCGAAAATCGTCTCACTAAACTCCAGATTTCGCATTTCCCAATTCTATATTGCGACACAGTAAATGTTCCACATCTCTTGTAGATACTTTTGAGCACAAGTGAGCGCTTTCGCTTCGTGTAACTTTCTCTTGGTTTTATTCTTCCGTGAAGAAAATCGCAATTCAGAGAGAAAATCAAATAAAGACGTTATTTAAAGGTATTAATGACACATACTCACTGAAGCGTGGTAACATCAAGAAAGTGTTAAATGAAAATATAACAAGGATTTAATAGAATTGTAAAAAGTATCTGGGAACAGTGTTTTTCCTCGCATTCCATCTTTTGAACATATCATGAAGGTAAAATTTTCCAGTGTATTAATACCTATGAAAGATGCCTCGGTAGTGCAATGGTAGCTTATGCGACTGCTGTGCTGAGGTCTCGGGTTCGATTTCAGTGTCAGACCAAATGTTTGTATGATCTGCAAATATTTGTTTCGGAGTTAGGGTTTTTTCTATGCATATTGGAACGGAGTTCCTTATCGCGCGCGCTGTGAGAAGATGGGAGCGAGACCGAAAAATGTGTAACAAGACTTATTTCCGACAGTTCGTGCGGAACTTCGTTCTGACCAGAGGGTTTATATGTATCATCATCATCATCAACAGCCTTTAACAGTCCACTGCTGGACATAGGCCTCTCCTTAGAAAGGAGGTTTTGGCCTACTATACCACGCTGGCCAGACGGTAAAAAGTGTTTTTTTACCGTCTGGCCAGTACTGTTTTTTTTTTAAATATATACATATTATATGTATAATATGTATATATTTAAAAAAAAAAACAGGTATTCTATCAGTCAATCTAGCTATCATAGTAGATATTCAGCTTAGTTTGAAATGAGATGACGTAGTGTGTTAGACGTCCGAAAATATTGTTATTATTATGACCCAGCTTCTTATCCTGCACTAATATGCTAAGAAGTCATCATCAGTAGGTATAGTTGATAATAGAAAAAGAGGAAGTGCAAATTTTATGGCAATTGTGTCTATCACCGCATTGCTTCAGTTACTTCAATAAAACTTATTTTCACTTGGACCGTATAAATGTATATAAATATATTGCCTCACTGACGACCGTTCCTTACATCAGAACCTAGAGTACTTAAATTGTATCTTTAATTGTTGTTGTACCTATATTAAAATATGCTGTAACTTCACTTAGTTCACTTAATTACAGTTAATTACTAAAATGATGATGACGACATTATTCAGTAATAATTAACTACCTAATAAATTTTGTCCGATAATCTCTCTCTTTACTTACACTTCCCGACACAATCCTAATCCTAGAATCAAGTCTTTTCCGTTTGCTCTCTCTTTAAAAAGTTGGACGATACCATACATTTGCAATTTGCGTTTGTTATTTATACTGATGAAGGAATACTTACTATTTGTGTCGTTATTTCCTCACATAACCAAAACCCTTCCGATCACCAGGTTTATTGGGCGGGTCCTATCGCTGGTGGTGTTGCAGCTGCTCTCCTGTACGTGCACGGCTTCTCTGCGCCTCCCGTCGAAACCATCACCCCTCCTAGGTACCGTGCGGTAGCCGGAGATGAGAAAGAGGTATGGCAGTGTTAAGATATACAATATTTGGAGTGAATACCCATTACTCCTTAATAGGTACTGATACGCAAGATACTGCTTCTTAATCGTGAAACGATCAGCATCAGTCAACACCCTCAGCTCATGCTACTACTGTTACTTTTCCCACGTGCATAAACCGTTTTTCTTCAAATAAAAAAATACTTAAATTTGGATACCTATTTCAGGCAGTCTAAAGACAGCAGTCGGAAGACTCGACTCTGACTTAACAAGAACAATAATTTTGTGTTTCTTATTGAAGATCTCTACTATTTCTATATATATTGACATCATATGGGTTCCATCCGCTATAGGACAGCTATAGAAAGTATAATCATAAACTATTAAACTTTAACTGCATAAACCATGTTTAATATCAGTGAAACTACATCTTTGTAAAGCCTACCTCTCTGTACTTTAGTAAAATACAATTATTAATTTTCCTTGCAAGCGCACTGGACGCCTGACAACTACTGCTTGGACAGTAGAACAAGGCGTGAGTATCTAACTAAGTAGCATTCACATAGTAAACCAAAAACAGAAACTTTAGTTTTTATTATATTGTAATAAAAGGATCAATCAAATCTCCACACTCTATAAAAGTGTGCCTAGACTATATTTACTATACTATACTATATTTAAACAGCTTCGCCTGTAGAATGTATCCCTTCCATACCACGTCCTTGACCGTAGGTATATGCAAAAACGATTAATAAATCTTTATATACATTCACATGAAACAACTAACACCGTACTGTACCATGACTGAAGCGGTGTTACTCTCATGGTAGGTACTGCATATTGCATGGTAGAGACACTATACATAAGAACATTATTTTAACCTTGAACTCATCATCATCATCATCAGCCTATCGCAGTCCACTGCTGGACATAGGCCTCTCCCATTGCACGCCACTTAGATCGATTTTGGGCTTCTCGCATCCAGCTCCTGCCAGCCATCCCGCGCAAATCGTCACTTGAACTCACTTCATAAATTTCGTTTTTAAATTGATAATGCAAATTATTAATCACGTTTTTTTTCCATTAGCTGAAGCGGTTGAACGGGAATCAGGACGAGATGGCTTGAAAGCGCCACCTAGCGACGGTACCCGGCGCGGGCACGTCGCTTGATGCCCTAAGGGCACTCCCACCACACCACACACTATGATTCAATAAATACGACAGCTTTAACACAGTATGACCTAACGAACCATAAAAACCTTACCTACAGCAAGAACAAATTTGTTAAAATAAAAGTAAACTTATTTTAGCAACAATCATCTGCATACAGACTCTTATAAATCTATTATAAATTACTCCCAAACTGCTTCTACGTCTAAATATACCATTATTATATGTTTAAGTACATGAAAAACAAAACGCTCGATAAAATCTTGACGTTCAATCGACCGTCTAAATACATTCGCGGTACTCCAATTAGTACACGATAAGAGTGCTGTAGACCTAGCTTTAACGATTTCCCGAGATTATTTGTTCACCTGTCAAAACGGTATGAGGTTGTCGTCTCTTTTATTAGAGCGAGATGCCAACAGTTCAGTCATACGTACTAAACGACTGTTTTAACATTTAATGCAATACAAAGTCTTTGTAACATAAGTAATATAATATTTAATTATTATAATATATAATTTATGTAATTACATAAATTATTTAAACAAATAAAAATTCACTTTAACTTTTGATATCCGCCCCATTTTGTAAAACAAAATTGTTCTTAATGTTTGAATAGGTATTAATTATAATCGAAAATTTTATACAATTTGATATTTAGAATTCTACATAATTATAAATATTATCCATAATTAGATTAAGATTATTTTATATAAAGTATGATTATAAATTTATCTCACCCAGTGCAACTCAATTTCTTATGTAGATTTAAATATAAGAATCAAAATAGAAAATATTTTATACATAACTATCGGTAAAAAACAACGCACACACATTTCTACATTGCTTAATTTGTCCTATAGTGGGACAATGTTAAGGATGTTTCTGTACAACAAGTGTATAAATCACTTTAAATTAAGTAAATAATTTTATCTAAGTATGCAACGAGTTTCAAACCGGCGTGTTCAAAAGCAACATACTAATATAAGATATTGAATGAAATATTGATGTAACTGTAGGTTTTGTCTTCTACATGATTATAAATAAATATAATATTATTTACTTTTGTGTTTTATTATCAAGTTATATCCTTCGGAGTAGGGGGGGGGGGGGGGGGGGGAAGGGCGTATCGTCACACATAAAATATGTACTCTGGAAAACAAAAAATTATCGTAGAGATTTCCGACAAAGAGTAGTCGTCTCTATTTATAGGTCCCCTTTTTTTTGTCTATGCGGAAATCCCCTCGGATACCACCCACCGGTGGTTATATCGGACATGAACTGACCAAAAAACCGCACGCCGTCTCGGGTACCAGTAGCTGGGGAACAAGGTGAACCCCAGGAAGGAAATCTATAGGTTCCATGTCTATGGATTAGAGACGTTTTCATTTACAATGTTATATAAATATGATGGCCCCTATTACATTCCTTGTCGTGGATAATATTTCCGGAGCTGCTTAAGGGAGTGTTGTAGTATCACTGCTCTCTCTGACTTTGATGTTGGTATGGTCATGTGCATGTGTATGTAGGTATATTTTAAATACCATTCAATTTATAGAAATAACTGTGTCCTAAATTTTAAAAGCTAACTAATTTATAACTGCTCCTTACAACTGGGATGCTGTAAACACTAGAAAATCTGTTCAGTAAAGCTCATTATCTTCCTGTTCATTTTACATTTTATGGCCGACCTACGTGACGTCAACTGATGGGGATGTAATCGTTATTTAACAAAGGAAAGACTTTAGAGTAAGGAAAACACATAGGGCAAGATTTAAAGCTAGACTGGCAAGGTCTTACCAGATGGAAGATTATGTTTTTCGAGTGTATGCATACATGCATGTATGTGTGTATATTTCTTTAGCACGCTCTGTAGCCTTAACACCTTGACGGATATTGGCGTTTGAGATGTCGTTGGATTCGTCTTAATTGAGAGAGAAACTATACATGTGTGTGTGTATAACTATATATGGGTATATGAAAATTAAATAAATTACTAGCGATTCGCCCCGATGAAATGAAGATACTACTAATGTGGTGTCAATGTGGAGTAATTAATACTATTATTATGATAGGACTATACTACAGGACATCTTTAAATGCAATATTTATAAGCCCGCTCCTGCCGGCTGCTGCTACCCGGGACGGACGTACGGCTCGACGGTCGTTGGGCCCCCGCATTTAAACCTCTAATATCTTCTAATATATTCATTTTTATTATATTTTTTGCAATATTTAATCTACATTATTACATTACATACAATTTTTAATCTACATTAAATGCACCACGTATCTAAGATTATTTTGTTGTGAATGTATTTAATTGGATAAGGTATAATAATGTATTGTTTAAAATAGCTTCGTAAATAACCCATTTAATTTTTTTTGTAATATTTAAGATATAAAAATGGTTACTGTGGGTTATCCTTAGGAGATAGAAATATACCATTTATACATATACATACACGCGGACTTTTTTGTAGATCTTTGTTAGATATACAATTCCGTAGTACATTATTTGGTCTATCTCGTAAGGTTTAGTCAGCGTTTGCAATATAAGCGCATAAATACATGTTTTTTATGTGTCTGTTGTTTCTCTACTATAATATGCATGGATTATACAAATAAACCTTCCTCTTGAATCACTCCCTCTATTGGTGAAAACCGTATTAAAATCCGTTGCTTAGTTTAAAAGATCTAAGCGTACAACAGAAAATAGCGACTTTATTTTAATACTAGGTATGTACCTAAAGAAGATAAAATAATTTAAAGAAAAAGCATTATAAACAGACCTTCCTTTCATTACGATCACAAAATTCCTGATTTGTTACTTTAAATTCTGAGGATCGTGGAGTCCTGCTGTATTTATGACCGGACATTAAATTGTTGATATCCGCCAAACACAACATACGACAAAAATATCTCATTCGTCGCTTTTAGTCATTCACATTTAAATACCCATGCTTGTACGGGCTTACTTACCCATGCTGGCCGTCAATACCACTACATTAAATGTGCTCCGTTAAGTGAAGAATTAGAGCAGCGAAAAAAAACGTTTTAAAATTACGAATAAATATTCTTCTTCTTCTTCGTTCTGCCCGCAGGAAACTGGAAGTGATTATGGACACTTGCTGATCCTGATTTTCTGGTATTTTTATACTGATTGATTCTTTTGAAACTGCATACAGTGCCAATGCATGACTTACACAAATCGCATTTCTGTGCAATATTAACTATTAATCGACTATGACTCCTGTGGCAGTTTGATGTTTTTTGTGTCTCATGAAATGAGAAGGTTAAGTAATCATCAAATGTATGGCATTTTAATAACTTAGACACGAGGAATTTAATGGAAAAATTATACATATGGCCCATTTTTAGAGTGTATTACCTAGTGTAAAACTGTTTCATAACTTTAGTCCGAACTAAAAGTGGACACGTGACGTCTACCTACATAATCTCTTAGGCCGGCAACTACACTATTTCAAATATACTCATAGCTGTACCTAATTGAAAAATTGGAGCAAAATGACGCAATTGTGATACTGTTGTTCTATTTTTGTAGCTGTTTGAGTCACGCATATTAAATTGTTATACACTATATAGGCCGGAATTGGTAAATGAAAATAAGCATAGTAGGAGTTGCTACTTCTTGCTAATTTGCCGCCGTAATTGTGTTGGGTCACCCGTTATTGAAGAGCCCTTTGACCAATTCAAGTCCACAGATCTACGAACTGTAGATTTGATTTGATTGGTTGATTTTTCGGAATGGCAAACATATGTAGCCTACTCATACACCAATATTTATAATATATGCCAAAATTATATATGTATATATATACATACACAAATACATACATTAACCACTATAGAACACTTACTCGCGCGGGCGCCTCTGCTTTGAGCGCGGCGCACCGCTGTAACCACAAGAATGCGCTAGCGCAGCCCCACGCTCACGCGAGGCTCCTTAGTCGGCCACGAACGCCAGCGCTTGTAACTCGCGTCGCCCGTCTAACCACCGCCCCGCTCCGTACGCGTTGTCGTGTCGCGATTAATATTAATTCTTATTGTGTAAATTGTTTTAATCTATTGTGCTATCGTTTCCTATTTGCTCCTTCTATCTTTGTGGTACTTTTAACTGACTTTCTTTGGTGTATGTGTGTTCTATATATTAAATTAATTTCGTCTTTCTACCTCCGAAACGAACTTTTATTTTTCTATTCTCACATACCTGTGCCGTAAGTACTATACTGGTGACCCCGCTAAGAACATGACTGATAGCAGTGATTCCGCGAACACCGAACGTACCGTGGAGGAGAACATCACCAAGCGGATCAAGAAAATGCGCCCTGCGACTCCCCGCCGCGACTTGTCACCTGACCGTCGTGAGACTAAAGTCGTACTGAAGGTCGCAAAATTTTCACCCGAGGACCCGGAGCTTTGGTTCGCGCTTCTAGAGAGCCAATTTGAGAGTCTCGGTATCACAGAAGATGCCGTGAAGTTCAGCTCTGTTACGACTAGGCTCGACATTCAGTATGCAAAAACCGTAAAGGACGTCATACTGAATCCTCCCGCTAGGAACCGTTACGAGAAGATCAAGACTGAGCTTCTTCGTCGCCTGTCAGCTTCGCACGAAACGAAGGTGAAGCAGTTGCTCACGCAGGAGAGACTCGGTGATCGCAAGCCATCCCAATTCCTGCGACACCTTCAGGACTTAGCCGGATCATCTGCGGCGGAAGACATAGTGAAACAGATTTGGAGTAACCAGCTACCCATCGGTGTCCAGACTGTGCTGGCGTCCCAGACCTCGCACTCACTGGAGCAATTAGCCGACCTCGCTGATCGCATACAGGAGCTGACATCACCACCTAGCGTCTCAGCCGCCTCGAACGGTAGTGCCCGGCAGTCTGACGAGATTGCTGAGCTGAAGAAGATGGTGCAGCACCTCACCTTAAA